TACCATATAATGGGTGAAATTTCCTGTGTTTGTGAAAATAGGAAGAGCTCCATTGTGGGCTTATCTGAAGATATTGTAGTGCAAGATAGAGCATTAGGATGCTCTCAGATGGGAACACGTTCCAGTCAAAGGTTTTGTGCTTTGAAAGCTATTCATAAGTGTGTCAGATCTAGCCTGGCTATTTTTATAAAGTTTCTAATCTGTTTTGTTTTATGTTTTGAGTTTAGATGTTAGGCTGAAGAACAAACACTGTATACTCCATGAGCCTGTGTTCCAAGGATCCTGTAAAGAAAAAAGCAAAACAAAGACTTCATATATCAGTTGGGAGGGAAAGAGAGCATATAAAAGGGTTAAAAAGAGGTTTGCATTTCTACCACATGCCCTATTGTGTGAACATATGCATGAGTCTATTGAAAGTTTTCAGAAGATGGGCAGGCCACCAGTTGCTGGTCTCCTGCAGTTCCAGTAGACATCTGTTGCCCCAGAGCATTAACCAATCTGTTCAATGGGACATCCTTCCTTTGTTGGATAGAATGATGCAGACAACAGCACTCGCTGAAATACAATGGTAATTAAATACATAGAAACTACAGCAGTAGGTATTTATTACATATTCATTATTTTATTTGCATTGTTGCAGTGTCTTTGTCATTTGGATAACTGATACATTCATTTTTTTCTGATCAGCTCTGCACTTGTTTATGATAAGTAATGACAGTGTTTCAACAAACTGTGATTTCAATGTTTTCCATTTTCTGTTTAGAAGACTTAGAAAAAGTCTGCTTGTGTGAAAACACGCTGAACTATTTCACTGTAGAATGCATCTTAAGAAACTTTTGACAGTCTTTTGAGAATACACAATTTCTACTATACTGTGCCACATGACACACTGTTTTACTCCTTGTTATTTTCCTCTGTGAACTACATTTGCATTAAATTGCTTTTCTTATGCTCAATTGTAACTGGAAATAATGTGAATGCACATTAAAAGGTTAGATGATCTACTTGCCCACATCTCTTTGAGAAATATTTCTGGTTTGTGTGAAGGTGAATTAATAGGCTGATTACTGTTAATGGTTAGTGGAAAATAGTGGTAACTTCTAAGAAATGGGAAAATATTACACTTCTACAATGTAGTAGCGCAGTGCTAATCTGGAGTATTACATTTATCCTTGATAAATGTCTTTGACTCAGTAATACAGTATTTTAGGCTTTTAACAGTGAACCTAGGGTGGGATACTGTAGCGTTAAACAGACTGTAGTTTAAAACTTCCGTTGTCATAACTATGTCTAAATTGCAAGTTACCCATTTTATTACCTTCTCATAAATACAGATTCTGTTACTCAGCTGTGGTGAGCATAACCAAAAGTTGAAGACTTCCTTGACAACATTTTTGGGGCTATTTTTCATTTGGCTCTCAGTTGAGTCAGAATTTGTAGCAGATATTTTTGTTAGCTATATGGCAGTGTATCAGTAAGCATACTTTAAAACTGTATGTGCATGATGAGAATTCCCTGTAAATAAAGAGTGCAAGGAGTTCTTCTTATCTGATATTACTTCTTGGATAAGTGTGACCTTTTCTGGTTTTCATGAGCTTCATTGTCCTATCTATAGGTATACTAGTATTTATTTGGAATACTAATTCATTCAAATAGACTGTCTGGCATGTTGCTCTTCAGTAACCAAATCAAGATAAAATAATCAATTCCAGCAGCGTTCAGCAGTGACATCTGATTTTCATGGTTCTAATCACTGAATCTCATAAAGGACATCATGTTGGGAGCTCCAAAGTCTAGTGTTTCTAAGAGATGCTGCTGACCACAAATACAGTGTACAAAGTTCACAGACATTGTAAAAATTTGTCTGAAAATACATACAGTTTGCATGTGGGGTTTAGGCCAAATGCCAGGAATAGTGTACTGCTTATGCAAAACTATTTCAGAAATTTTTAGCTTCGGGTTTGCAGTGTAAACATAATTTTAACTACCCTTTTAAAGCCATAGTATGGTGACTATATACTGTCTGTGGGAGATTTTAAAGCTGCTGCTGTTATTACATTATTCTTTAAATAGTTTCTGAAAAACAGTAGAGTTGTGCACAAAAGAAGCAATTATATATTGGAGCAAGATAGAGATTGACAGGAGACTTAAAGCAGATAGATGCAAGGCTGATTATGTATACATTCCCAACAATGGACAAATCTCAGTTTACGGTCATTTTTCATACACAGTTGATGTGCACATCATCTAAAGTATGTTTCATATGATGCCTGATCTTCAGACACATTCATATGCTAGTGACTTCTTTGAATCCCACTGGAGGGTGTTATGATTGTAGTTGCTGTAAAGCACTTAAACTTCAAGGAACGAGTGATTAGAGGATGACTTAAGTATTATTTAAACTAACACTGAAAAAAAAAAAAAAATCCTCTTTCTGGTCTATGCACTTCAAGCTTTGTTTATTCCATGCTGTTAATATGCAACCTTCTCTTCCCCCCTTCAAAAAAAATCCCTCCCTCTACTTTTAGTTCAATACTAAAATGACATTTCACAGTACATGGATTTAGTCAGTGACCCATTATCATCCCGTATTCTGCAGTGACAGTACATGAGCCAGCTCAACTTTTCAGTCCAGCTTAAAAGTGTAGCCCATTAACTAGACTTCCTCGAGTCAGAGCAGATTGTGGGGTTGGTGGAACAATGATGTCGGGGCTTCCAGATCGGTTTGGCAGCTGCATTGTTCTCCGAGGGGAAATCAGACGCACTTAAGTCCCGCTCTCTTTCATGGGCTTTTGTTCATACCAAATTATTCTTTCGCTGTGCTAGTATTCATGATGGTATGTTAAAGGAGCGCATCCTAGCAACTAAAGGCTGGTTGCTAAGCAGCCTCACTTCCAATAGGGGTTTCTTGTTTGAGATTTTTTTTAATTTATTTTTTTTTTGGTGTCAGTTCTGTGAAGGCCACAGTGTTGTTTTTTTAACTGTATCCTTTTATTGGGATATTGTTGTGATTTGTTAGTAGCGCTGTGCTATCGAGTGGATTACATTAGTTAATAAATCACTGTGTGAAAAGGTTCATTTCCTAAATTCTCGTGTTTAATCTATGGTGTTGCTTGAAATCCTAAAGTTTTGAGTTAAGAGAAGGTAATATTCATTGATACGCTGCCTAAGAATTACAGCCCTACTGCCTTCTAACAAGATCAGTTCTAAATAAAACTTTAGAGTTTTTTCTTTCCCATCACTCTTGACTGGATTAAGATGTTGCAGATTAAAACGCTGGTGATAGATTTATTTATTTATTTATTTATTTAAACTAGAAATGCTTAGGTAAAGTAACTTTTTGTGCCCCATAACTGAAATGCTCCACAACAGTGGTGATGTCTTGGCACTCAGTGACTATAGAGTCTACTTTCACTGAACCACGGATTGGATTTTTTTGCTGCTTCTCTCTGGTCTTAAACCTGAATGAATTTCTCTTGTATATACACTCAGATCTTTATCCTGAGAAGAGGAAAGTACACTGTATTTTAAAAATACTGGCTTATTCTTAAATGCTAACCTGTAAGGGGGAAGGAGAGTTAAATTATTTGCTGACAGAAATTTTGGCTGTTTGTGAGACATACCTGTAATTTGTGTTAGTGTAGATCAAGAGAGTCTGTTCAATGCAATGTTTTTTTCGCAGTATATGCTCCTTGATGAAATTTGTGTCTGTAATGCATCTGTCAAGTTCAAGCGATGTCCTTTGCCTCTATATCTTGCTTTTATATTCTGCCTTGCAAGATGGAGGTGTGAAAGAACTCTTTGTTTCATAGTCTTCCCTTAATGTAAATTGTTCTTTTTCATGGTAACCTTGCAGTACAATTGGTCCATATGGTCCATTTTTATCTGTAAGAAATAATTTATCTTTTACTTTCTTTATTGAAGCAGTTAGCAAAGATTCCTGTTTAAAAGAACAAAATAAGGGGAAGAGATAGCAATCTGCCTTTAAATGTAGACTGTGGAAGTAATCCTTGTGATGAAAAATGGGTAGCTAACTTCTGTATAACTACCATTATGCAATATTCCTCCAGAAAAACTGATGTGACAAGTGTGTGAAATCCAGAAAACTGTAACTTTTCTTCTTTCGTTCATCCTACATGACTTCTATTTATCTATATACAGTTTTGATTCAGCAAAATGCTTGCACAAGTCTAGTCCAAGAGTTGAAATCCACTTCTAATTTTGTTGCCTTGTTGGCTTGATGAGTGGTCTGTTGCAGTTGGTGCAAAGACTTCCATTGGTTTTATTGGCCATTAGGTCAACCCCCATCTGTAAATGCTCTATGTGTTAGTAATGTGACGCTTAGTTGAGAGAAATTAGCTTTTCTTGACTTACCACTTTATAAGGGAATTCAGAAATAGTTTGAGTATATTCAGTTGAACTGGTAGTGACTTTTAGGGCAAATAAGTTTTTATTTAATTATGTTTTCTGTTACTGATTCATTTTATGTGTTATGATATCTTGTTTGCCTAATAAACCAGATAATCTAGTACTATGCTAATTTCTTTCTAGTTCAACGGAGAGTTTAAGGTATTTAGTTTAAAAAGATTTTATTGTGTTTGTATTTTATAGCTGCATGGTTTTTGCATTGTTACAATACTGCCTTAAGCTAGAAGAAATGTCTTGGTTCCTTTAAATCGTGACAAGACTTCTGTCTCTGCATTACAGTAGGTAAAATTGCAGTGTTTGGTTTCCTGTTGTTTCATAAACCCATTTCTAGAAATGTTTAAGTAAAAACGTTTGATACACTCAGAAAACAGATGATCAGTTGTTTATCCACTTAACTATGGTTGTTCCTTAGGAAAAGTTTTTCCAAAAAAAAGCTCTCCATGTTTAAAAAAAAAAAAAAAAGTTGTATTTATCTGCTGGGAGAGAATAAATGCAGTTCTGAGGAAGCAGCAAAAACAAATATAAAACAATTAAATGTGTAACCAGTTGCAACATTTTTGTTCTCTCTTTAGGAATACGGAACACTTTATATTCAGGAATACAAGAAAAACAGCAAAGTGGAGTCAAGTACATGCAGCAGCTTCATGGGCTTGAAGGATCATCTGGGGCATGACTTAGGCCACCTTTATGTGGGGAGCACTGGCACACAAATAAATGCAATTGTACCTTGGTCAGTGGCGGAGAAGCCAACGATGGATAAGGTTAATTCTAGGAAAGAAGATGTAGACAAAGAGACATCTGAAGAGACTTCTGGAAGCTCCAGCTGTGACTCTGAAGAAAGCACAAATTCTGATAATGATTCAGAGAGACTGAATAATTCTGTATCAGAATCACATTTATTGCCTAAGACTCACCGACAGCTGTGCCGATCTCCCTGCTTAGAGCCTCATATACTAAAAAGAAATGAAATCTTGAAAGATTTTAGGATAGAAGAGGCTCAGATAGTACCTAAGGAAGTGAAAAAGGCCCCTGATGTGGTGAAAGAATATCAAACCAAACTGGAGTTTGCACTTAAGTTGGGTTACTCTGAAGAGCAGGTTCAACTTGTACTGAATAAACTTGGTACTGATGCTTTAATAAATGATATTTTGGGAGAACTTGTCAAACTGGGGAATAAAACTGAGACTGATCAGACTGTAACTAATGCTAACACTAGTGTAATGCGTGAAGCATCTTCCATAGAGTCTCAGAGGTCAGAGTCTCCACTGCAGGAGGATGTGACAGAGGATGGTGACAACCTGAGGCCAATAGTTATTGATGGCAGCAATGTTGCAATGAGGTATGTGACCATGAAGCTTTTGCTTTTGTATTTAAATGGAAACAGCATGACCTTGTCCTGTTCAAGCACTGACGTTCGGTATAATTGACTAAAACTGTATGCAGGTTCTCTCACAAACATCTTTGTCAGCCACACAGTAGGCCTGTCTTGTAATCAGGCTAGAAGTCTGTAAGAGTTCAATGGGTTATACTCACTGTTAGAACAACCATACGTTAATGCCAGTCTCCCTTTGTAGGCAGCTATAAAATCTCTCCTTCCTACTGCCAGTCTAGTATGTAGTTAATTTTTGGCAGGCACCATTGCTATGGGCAATTGCTGTAACCAGTTACATACGGGAGGTTAAAGCACATGCAAGATTCCTTAAGATTATAAAATAGTGATTTAGAATTAAGTGTCTTATGGGGTACTTCTCCTTGGTAGGCTGTTCTGTGATAACTGGTCCATCTGTAAAATTGGTCTTGGTTATAAGATTTGGAGTTAGGTTTTATTGCCATTAATTCCTGAGATTACTGTGCTTTAGACTTTCACTTACATGCCCACAGATAACACATTTACCTACAGCATTCACCCATCCTGACCCCGGTCATCTAGATGCGTAGCAAGAAGCTTGTCTGTGTGGAGGCAAGAGGTTCGTGCTCCATCGGTGATTAGAGAGAGAAGGAAATGGCAGAGACACATGCTGAGAGATGGAGGTTTTATGGCTATATAAGTGATTAAATGACAAATTGATTAGTAACTAATTGGGTAACTCATAAGGATTATCTGATTACTAGAACCATGGTTTAGAAGGTCAATTTTAGTCTTCTGGTGACTTGATGTGGTTTTCATTAGCTTAGTAATAAAAGTTCGTGTAAGACATTTCTGGGCTGAAGGCCCAGGGGTTTTTTAGCTCCTCATCAAGTCAATTACCTTTAAATGAGGCTTTTTAAAATGAAATTAAATACAGCTCTTATTTATGCCAATATGATGGTTTTTCTTTATATAAGTAGATGTCTTAGCCCGTAAAGCAAGGGTGTTACTTCTTTGTAAATAGGGACATTCCTGTGAGTTCTACTTGATGTGTCATTCCTAATCTGCTTTTTCAACTTGAGCTGTAAAGGAAGTATGTCCAGTTGAACAAACGCTATTCTGGTACTCAACCAAGAAGTTATCTGGAGACTTCTAAAATGTTTTTGGATTGTATTTCATGTAAATCCAAAACAGTTGTGTAAGTGTTAGCTAGTTAGCACAGCTCAGACTTGGTGGGTGGACTCCGGTTCAACTTTTCCCACAAATGTCACTGAACACATTCCAGAAGTAGCTTGAGATCAATTACTTCTCCTTAGTGTTTATTCAGCTATTAGCATAAATATTTAGGACCTGCCTTCCTATGCTCAATTTAGTTTCCTGACCACCTAGATAAAATGAGCCAAATATAAATGCATGCTATGCATGCTACAGGGCCTTAAAACAGATTATTATTATAACAGTCTTTCTGTATCCAATAATCGAATGAATGGGTCTTTACTTGTTTTCTACCACATTTAATCACAGAATCATTCAGTTTGGAAGGGACCTCTGGAGATCTTTTAGTCCAGTCCCCTGCACAGAGCAGTGGCGATTCAAGGCCATGTCAATTTGGGTTTCGAATGTCTCCAAGGATGGAGACTCAGCATATTCTCTGGGCCAGTGTTTGAATGCTCTCACTGTAAGAAAGTTTTCTTTTTTTATGGTTAAACAACATTTCTTATACTCCAGTTCGTGCACATTATCTCTTGGCCTGTCACTGGACACCAGTAAGAAGTCAGTTTCTGTCCTCTATTCCCTTCCATCGGGTATTTATGCACAGGATAAGATCCCTCTCAGCCTTCTCTTCTCCAGTCCCAGCTCTCTCGGCCTCTCCTCATATGACAGATGCTTCAGTCCTTTATTTAACTCTGTTGTCCTTCACTGGACCCTCTCCAGTTATTGTCCTCGTTTGTTTTATACTGGGGAGCCCAGAACTGAACCCAGCACTCCAGATGACAGCAAGCCTGAGTAGAGAGGAAGTATCACCTCCCTTAATCTGCTGGCAACACTCGTCCTAATGGAGCCCAGGAAGCTCTTGGCCTTCTGTGCTGCAAATGCACACTGCTGGTTTATGGTCAGCTTGGTGTTCACCAGAATGCCAAGGTCCTTCTCTTCAGAGTTGCTTTCTAGTTGGTTGCCTCTTAACCTGCACTGATGCCTGGTTTTAGTCCTTCCCAGGTGCAGGATTGGCATTTCGTTCTGTTGAACTTGCTGTGGCACCTGGTTGGCCCATTTCTCTACCCTGCCAGGGTCCCTCTGAATGGCAGCACACCCATCCAGTGTTCTACACATGTACACATTCCTCCTAGTTATGCATCCTTTACAAACTTGCTGAGGTTGCACTCTGTCCAATTATCTAGGTCATTAACAAAGGTGATAAGCAATCCTTGCCCCAGTATCAGTCCCTGGGAACGCCAATACTAATTGGCCTCCAGCTAGACTTCATGCCACTAATCATAACCCTTTGAGTGCAGCAGTTCAGCGAGATTTCAGTCCACCTCTCTGTCCCCTTACCTTGCCCACACTTCATTAGTTTGTCAGTAAAGATGTAACAAGAGACAGTGTCAAAAGCTTTGTTAAAGTCACAATAGACAGCACCCACTGCTCTCCTAATCCACTGAGCCAGTCATGTCACCTTAGAAGGCTATGAGGTTGGTCAAGTGTATTTCCACTTCATAAATCCATGTTGACTGTTCCAAATCACCTTCACCCAAGCTATGTAATTTGTTAGGAAAGGATTTCCAGGAGGATTTGCTTCATCACCTTTGCAGGCATGAAGGTGAGGCTGACCAGCCTGTAGTTCCCTGAATTATCCTTCTTGCCTTCCTTGAAGATAGAAGGGATATTCACTCTCTTCTGGTCCTTAGGAACATCTCCCAATCACCACAACTTTTCGAAGATTACCAAGAGTGGCCTCACAATGTCATTAGCCAGCTCCCTCAACACCCTTGAATGCATCCCGTCAGGGCCCAGCAATTTGGGAATGTGCCATCTCAGTGTTCCCTAAACTCTGATGAGGGAAAGTCTTATCCTGTCATCTCTGCCCAACTTCCTGCACATCAGGGTGGACCAGTCTTGAGCTTGGTGAGGCGATCCTTGAAAATCAACTAGCTCTCCTGTGCCCCTCCTCTCTCCAGGGTCATATCGCATAGGATTCTCCTGAACAGGCCGAAGTCTGCTCTCCTGAAGTCTGGGGTTGTGATCCTGGTTTTTGCCTTGCTCTTTCTTCACAGGATCCTGAATTCTACTTGTGGTCACTGCAGCTGAGGCTGCCTTTGACCTTCACATCTCTGACCAGTTCTTCCTTGTTTGTAAGTATGAAGTCCAGTGGGTTCCCTCGTTGGGTCCTCAGTTACCCATGTTAAGAAGTTACTGCCAATGCACTCCAGAAACTTCTTGGATTGCTCATGCATTGCTGTGTTGGCAGGCTTATTGGCAAAGACACTTCTCATCTGCTTCTGGTCAGCCAGTTGGTGAAGATGCTTTTGTTCTTCTTGGTCAAGTGGATCCCACCTTTTCCTAGAAATCAGTCCTTGATTATGAAAACTGGTCCCATGTTTGTAAAAGATGAGTCCCTGTTGCTGACACCAGCTGTGCAACCAATTGTTTACTGCCAGGATCTGTCCTTTCCCCTTCAAGAAAATAGATAATAGTAAATAAGCACTTTGGATACTTAAAAGGAAAGATTTCAGCTTTCCATGTGAAAGAGCAATGTTCAAAGCAGTGGAGGAGATACAGGAATTCACCTGCACTTCAGACAAACTTGTTCAAATTTCTGTATCTAAATGTCTAGGGTCCTGTTATGAGTAACTAGCGTATAAATTAGCAAGTCTATTCTTTTCTTTCCTCTTTGCTTTTCCAAGCTGTGGCCAATGAGTTCACTTTGAAGTTGCTAAAGGGAGCTGTGACTGTGCCCTAAGCAAGACTGTAGACAGTCTTTTGAGAGAGTCTTGGGATCTCTCTCAGTATGTTCTCACAGAAATGGGTAGACTGTGATCTGTATTCTTACTCCCATGTTGTTGTAATAAATGTACTTGGTGATACCACTTACTATTATAATTATTCTAGGTAAGAACTGCTGATTTTCCATTAAAAGATGTATTTGATGAGGGAGGAGAGTTTTGTGAAGAAGGTTAAGGTGAGTGTTGTCCAGTAATAGAAGTAGAATAAGAGAGCGGTCCTCTTCTGAAAGGATCAAACACTCTATGCTGCCCTGTCTCTCCATTGCATGACTAATTAGGGATGAGGTTTCACAAAGCATTTAATGAGTGACACAAGAGTGACTTTGTTTCAGCCTTGCTGCTGTCTCACTGCCAGGGATCCTTTCCTACCTGCATATCATCTAGTGAATGTGTAGCTGCAAAATAAATTGATTCAGCTTCATAATTCAAAGTTAAAAACAAGATCGGGAAGGATTATTTTTATATTAGACTTGTAAATGAACCCCGATGCTTTTGTCATTGGGAGAACAGCTGGGTCTGACACAAAGGAGGAAGAATGTGTCCAGTTATCTGACTGAATGTTCATATTTGTGTAACTGGTTGCATCTAGCCAACTGATGATGAGTGGATTTGTGAGTTCCTTGGGGGCAGCACAGAACACAGCTTGAGCCAGAATAACTTGCCCTGGCCAGCCAGAGTCAGCATGTATGCTGGTCTAGTCTGGTGATGACTACTGTTCCAGAGAAGCTGCTTTAGAAAACTAGTTTGTAGTTTCTGCCTTTTGGTAATTCTTGGAAAGCTTTTCTTAAACTTTGAGATGGCATTGCTTGTCATTTGTGCCTTAAACTGAAAGCAGTTGATCAGATGCATCTTGTGTCATTCCAGTTTAAAGTTCCGATATTGGCTAAAGAATATTAATTGGTTAAAGTTTTAAAAACAAAGCAAACCCCCTCTTTCAACTGAATAGCAGAAAAGTGGCTTTTGCAGGCTATGACTTGAAGAGTTGCCATA